CTAATCTAAAAATTATTTTAATGAGTAGGGGGGGACAAAAGAAAAAGAATAGGAGCTCTACCTCCTCTTGGTCATAAATTACTATTTACTCTGGGAAGTGAACCAATCTTTCAATCCATTTTTGATCTTTCTCTTTTCTCCAACATGTCCAAAAGGAGAACACTTTTTGGCTGTCTTCGATTTCCTCACCATTCTCAGGTGATATTTAACTTCAGCACTCCTGAAAACACAGTACTCAGAGAACTTTGTTAAAATCTTCCATTATCTTCTTTTCTTTCCATCTTTTGTATGTATCTTGCAAAATTTAAGTGAGTTGATGAGTATCCTGAGCATTTGTATTAGTTGCCTTAGATAACTCTCTGTTACTCCTCAATGGAATTATTTTTCTTTTTGTCTTTGAATTTTAATTTCTATGGGTTTCTCATCCTTTTTAAGTTGCCTTCCACTCAAAGATTTGAGTACTTAGAATCTTACCTTTTTTTTCTCTCAGCCTTTTGAAATCTACTCTCCCTATACACAGGGTATAATCAGGTTATATACATCTTTCATCTTCTTTATCACAGTTTCTAAGATGGAGTCTTTACTTCCCCCCTGCCAAATTTCCTATCATCAAATTTTCCAGCAATCAGTTCCTCCTTGTTGATAATAATTCAAATGCAGAAGAGAACTGTTTACTCTTGAAGGATAGAATTATCACTAAGGTAAGATAAGGAATCATTAGCTATTCTATTTTTGACAGACATATGTCAACATTAATGTATTTGATAATGTTACATATAGCACTTTAAGGTTGGCAAAGTAATTTACAAATGTTATCTGATTTGATCCTAACAATAACTCTAAGAGCTATTATCTCCATTTCGTAGATGATGAAACTGAGTTCGACAGAGGTTAGGTAACTTGCCCAGGATCACACAGATAATAAATATCTGTGCTAGATTTGAACTTGGGCCTTCCTGACTCCATGTTCAGAGTTCTATCCATTGTGCTACCTTACTGCCTCTAATATCAAATTCCGGAATACTCCTAACAATTATCCCTGCCTGTAAAAATATGACTCCAGAAAAGCTTGAAATCTTTCTTGCTTCCTCTAAGCCCTCATACTTCCCTGTGATCCATTGTATTCAGGTAATGGGAAGAAAAACATAACACTCAATGCAAAGGAGCTACTCAAAGAAGAGCTATGTTACCCCTGAATACTTCATGGTTCACACTCTCCTTTGGAGAACAAATTTAATTGTTTATTTGAAAGACCTTTTTCTTTATCTTTCTTTTAGGTTTCATTTAAAACCTAAAGCTATTTTTGGTCAAGGAAACAATTAAGCAAAGTAGATGAAAAGTTCAAAAAGAAGCTGAATCACGATTGAAGGTCAAGTGGAAATTAAATTAGAAACCAGAGCAGGTTAGAGAATGAATCTGGGCTAGCAGAGAAAGGCATTCTGGGGTAAAGTCTACAATGTCAAACTTAGGGTGAATGAAAGAATAGCAGTAAAACAGCAGATATATAAGAAGCCAGCTGATTATCAAAAACAAAAGGAAAAGAAAGGGAGATATAAGCAGTTTTTTACTTTACATAGTATAATATTAGCATGCCTCAGTTTTGAAATCAAATAAAATTCAGCTTAGGTTCCTAACTGGGGAAGGTCTGGGGAGAATACACAGTAAGAAGGTGGTAAATGTATTCTCAGCTTACATAGGAAACAAGAACAATTCTGTTCATGAGTACATGGTCATAACATGTCTACACTTCCATACTCACTCTTTTGTTTATACTACTGAGCCATGAACAAAACAGGATTGAAAGAATAAGTACTTTCCTCCCCATGAAGGTTCTACTTAATTTTGTTTTCATTCAAACCTCATGGGACATTTTCATCAATTCCTCCATAAAACCTATGGTTTCCACAGGCTTTGCAATTTCAAAACAAAGTTTCTTTTGTTATGGAGCCAACACAAAAACCACATGGAAGAAAGTTACATGCTTTCTTCAAAAATTCTAACCAGAAGCCTGAGGCTAGTGCAAGTCTGCAACTGATTTTTCACATCTCTGCCTCTGCCTTTGGCTGTTCTCCTACCTCCGTGTTTGAAATGGCAGTGGTGGAAAGGAGTCAGTAGGAGAATTAGGGACAACAACAATGGCGAAATATACAAGAGAAGAAATCTCTGGGTTCTCTTCTCCTCCTATATATCTCTAGTCCCAACTTTTCCTTTTTGCTCTCAGGCCTAGAATGCCATGACCTCTTTGGGTTATTGCCAATGTTTTGTTAAGTTGAGAGAAATGAGAAATCTTTTGCCTTTTGAAATTGGAGCCATTATGATGGCTAGCATTTGCACCAGGGAATGGGGAGAGAAGGAGAGAATGGCAGCCAAAGCATTTCTATTGTTCTCCAAGTGGCTGTAGCTGTGGCTAAGAGGAACACTAGATAGAATCCATGGGTCAAAACTGTTACCCGCATCTTTTCACTTCAATTGTTTACTGATCACAAATTTGCTATAAACGGTCAACAAAAATATTTCCATAGCTTGTCTTGTTGCCTCCAAGGAGCAGCAAGGGGATAGGTAAGGCAGATTAAGGATAGAACCTGTAGTCAGTGTGGTCAACAGTAGGCCCATATCATCGTACTACCATACTTCAGATCTGGAAAGAACTTCAAAGGTTATCATTGTCAAAATTTTATCTCAACAAGAATCCATTCCATAATATTCAAAGAATCTACTCTCCCTACTGATAATTGCTTATCTAGTCTTAACTGAAGAGCTCAAATGAGGGGAGACCGACTCCCTTAAAGGCAAATCATTTTACTTTTAGATAGCTCAAATAATTACAAAGTTATTTCTTTCTTTACATCAAGATGAAATGTATTCCTTCACAACTTTCATTCCTTTATTTAGTTCTTTCAGGTTTACAGAGGGTTCCATAAAAATTATGTCATTTGATCTTGCAAAGAATATAGTGAGATTAGTGATATTATTTTCCCCATATTACATATGAGGTTAACTGGGTCTCTAGAAGTTAAGCAATTTGTCCATGGTCACAGTGTTCAAAGTGTATTCAGGTTTTCCCTGAATCTAGGTCTTATACTCTGTCCATGGCCACCATGAGACTGGTCAGGCCAAATCTGCACACTGCTAAGACGTAAGGTAATACTTTCAAGAGAAGCAGGTCATTCTGCTCTAAGCCTTTCTTTACTTCCCAACACAGACATGCATAGTACATTTCATTACTTTATTTTTCATTTTCTTAAGATGAATGTTTATTGAATACTCAATCACAAAACACATTATTCATATTCAACAAACTAAACTCAAAACAACTAAATTTATTGTTTTAATTTACAACTAAACTCTATTTGAAAATATAAACCTTAAAAATGAGACAAAAAATAGCAATATTTTTGAGACATTACAGTAAGCCTAGTCATACTTGGCAGACCTTAAGCTTCCAAGAAAATATTTAAAGAATGCAAGTTACCACAAATACCGATTCCTGATTGCCTTAGGGGAAAGACTGCAAAATGGGATATTCGACAGTGGATATTCAAATAAATGAAATCAGTAAGTTAGAAATCAAATAGGAATTCTGTGACAACGTTTTTAACACCACAATAATTTGTTCTGTTATCAAACCTGTAGGCCCGTGTTTCCTCTGTTATTCCATCTTTTAGATGTTATCTGAGATGTTGTGATATCCTATTTATTGTTCATTTAAGTGGAGAGAAGTTTTGGGGGGCTTTTGGGAGCACACCACAACTTTTTTCACACTGAAAATGAGGAAAATGCTATACATATTTTCTCTATGGGAAAAAAAAAAACATTCTGAAAGATTCTAAGCACTCTTTTTGCACTGGAAAATTTCCCTGCTATTTGTTGTTCACCTGTATCTCACTCTTCATGACTCCATAGACCATTCTATCCATGGGATTTTCTTGGCAAAGATACTAGAGTGGTTGGCCATTTCCTTCATACATGAACAAACACACATAAATATACACACACATTCTATGTATGTTTATATAACACATACGTACACATATGCATGTTTATATAATATATACATAGATAGAAATAACAACATATAAACATGTATATGTATATATATATGTGTGTGTATATTGTGTGTGCGTATATATATTTATATTATATTTTATATATATATATATATATATATATACATAAAAACACACACATATATGATATGAAACAAAGGTTTCCAGTCTCAGATGGCACCCTCCTACATGAAATGTTTTTGGATTCCCCCAGTTGTTAAGACTCTCTCCTGTGAAATTACTTTGTATTATTTAGTATAAACTTAATATTGACTTATTTGCTTCTAATCTCCCAAAAGAAAATAAGGTCCTTGAGGATAGGGGCTATTTCATATTTATCCTTGAATCTCCAGAGGCTAGTATACTTCCTTATACCTGCTAGACTGTTAATAGATTTTCATTGTTCTCATGGTCATAATCAACCGTAACAGTTGTGAAGGCATGAGCAAAGTAAAACCTGGTTCCAGGACAATAATAAAATAATTAGAATGCATATGCATAGCACTTTATGATGTAGAATGTATTTAGAGAAACTATCCCATTTAATCTTAACAAACAACCCTGTGAGTTGCAAGTCAGGTTGCAAGTATAATATATTGCTTATTAGTATATTATATGTAGGCTATATTTACTACATGCTTATTAGTATACTCACTCATCTGTTTGATGAGTGAGGAAGGTAAAACTCAGAGAGTCTGTGATTTGCCCATAGTAAAATTCTGAGCCCAGTTCTCTTTGATTCAAGTCAATGGACATTACCACAGGGCACAGAAAACTTGAGGAAGAAGTAGATTTAACACAGAAGATACAAAGAAATGGAAATATTTTGTTTCAGCTTTTCTGTCACATTTTCAACAGAATGTCATTCTCTACTTCCCCCAAGAAGAAAACAAAAACAAAAAATAGTAGGCTTTGTAATGCTAATATAATGACATGGTAAATCTTTTCTCTTACCAGGGTAGAGGGCACAGTCCATGAATGATAAGTCATCGATTGCAATGTCGCCTGTGAAGCCATCCCCAACTGCAGCTTCCACTAAGATCTGAGAAAGCAATCAGCACAAAGGGTTGGAATATGGAAGGCATGAATATCCTTTTAAATGTTAAGCCTGAATTGCTACTCGAGAGATTTGCTAGGTTACACATTTCTAAATCAGCCTTAAGACTTTTCTCCCACATATACCTTAGACAGTGACACTGTTTAAAAATGGCTAATCATTATTATATCTCTTTCTCATTCACATTAATCACAGTCAACTCCTATGACATTTGTGAGGCTTAGAAGAGCTATAATTCCATTGAAATTTCAGTAACATGTAAAATGCTTATAAAATGCCTATTGGAAATGGCGGGTTGTGATTAGTTCTGAGATCTACTATAATAACATTAATCAAGATGAATTATTTTAATACTTATGCAAATGGGTTGCATACTTAATAGGCATCCCATTGAAATCTGATAATGTAGCACCTAAGAGCTATATAAGTAAGACCACTAACATCAATTTAAGAAATACAACTCTTTTTTTTTTCCTATTATATTTCACCAATTTTGTCCAAGGAAGCTAATGACTTTTTTTCTTCTCAGCTTGATTCTATTTAGTCTATGCATTTACTATGTGCCAATCACTAAGCTAAGCTCTGAGCATATTAATAAAGGCAAAAACAGACCCTGGCCCTCAAGGAACTTATATTCTTTATTTAAAATAAATTTTTCTTGACAACTTTTTTTGTTTTGTATGATCTGTGTATTCCATCCCCACCCCTTCCCAGATAGACACCCTATATAACAAAGAATTTTTAAAAGTTAAAAAGGGAAGGTAAAATATCAGCATAACTAGTAAATACTCAAAAAATATAAAAACATACACCATGTTTTACAACCATTGGCCTCCCCCCTCTGTAAAGAAAATAGATGGGGATGTTTTCTCATATCTCTTCTTTGGGGCCAAGCTTGTTCTTTGTAATTTTTCAACATTCATTTTTATTTGTTTAGAGTGGTTATTCTAATTGTTATACCCATTATATTTTGTTTTCTTGGCTCTAACTACCTTACTTTATATAAATTCATGTAACCCTTTCCATATTTTTCTATATTCAACATAACTGATCATTCTTTATAACACAGTAAATTATCATATTATTCCATCATGTAATCACAGTATCACATTATATTCATACACCACAATTTGGTCAGCCATTCTCTAATTGATGGGCATCTAGTTTTTCTCCACTTCTTTGCTGCCATAAAAAAGAGCCGCTATAAATATTTTAGTGTATATAAGGATTTTCTTTTTATGAATAATAGAAAATAAATAGCAGAATCTCTGAGTCAAAGGGTAGAGATATTTTAGTTACCTTATTTGCAAAATCCAAAATTGCTTTCCGAAATGGTTATATTAATTCACAGAGAAGTATACATTCTAATAGAGAAGACAACATGCAAATAACTAGGCATATACAGCAGACATACAGAATAAGTGAAAGTAAATCTGAAAGGGGAAAGCAATATAGCTGGGGGAAACCAGGAAAGGCCTCCTGAAGATGAGATTTTTATCTAAATTCTAGAGGAAGCCAGAAAAAAATTAAGCAGAGGTAAAGTAACAGAATATTTTAGGCATGGGAGACTGTCAGTGTAAAGGCACAGAAATGGAAGATAGTGCAATGTTTGAAGAACCACAAGCAATTCAGTATGTCTCTAGATCGTGGAGTGTAAAAAAAGGGAGTAAATTGTAAAAAGTTGGAAAGTGGGAAGGAACCAGCACATTATGAAGCATGTGCCCAATGGGATCTTACATTTGATCTTAGAGGTAACAGGGAGTTAGCTATTGCAGCTCAATGAGCAGGGGATAATATGGTCAGAGCTATACTTTCAAAAAAGGCAGCTAGCTGGCACAGCAGATAAAGAAAGCACAGGGCTTGGAGTCAGAAAGACCTGAATTCAGATGCAGCTTCAGACACTTATGAGCTGTGTGACCCCGGGAAAGTCACTTAACTCTGTTTGCCTCAGTTTCCTCATCTGTAAAATTAGTTGAAGAAGAAAATTTCAAATCAATACAGTATCTTGGCCAGAAAACCTCAAATGGGGTCACAAAGAGTTGGATGCAACTGAAAAAATTGAACAACAACAACATACTTTCAAAAACTCACTTTGAGTGTTAAATAGAAGATGGAAGGAATGGAATAGAAGATGGGCAGAGATTTAAAGGAGGGAAATTAGGCAAGGGATAATAAGGACCTGGACTAGATTCATGGGAATGGGATGGAGACAAGAGATGTTGGGCTTTTGCTAAATTTGTTAACAATGATCTCTAGGGGGTAGCTAGGTGGCCCAGTGGATAGAGCACTGGCCCTGGGTTCAGGAGGACCTGAGTTCAAATCTGGACTCAGACACATAATACTTACTAGCTGAGTGACCCTGGGCAAGTCACTTCACCCCATTGCCAAGCCAAAAAACAAAAAAACAAAAACAATGATCTCTTATTTCTTTAATGTCACACTGGAAAAGAAAAAGTCTCAACAGGAGTTTCTTTCTACAAATCCCTGGAGATCTACCATTTCCATCAAAATGCCACAATCTTACTTCTCCATCCCATCCTGAAGAATAACTAGGTATCAACTCAACTCAACCAATAAGTTAATTGACTAATTGGGCAATGCCCTAAACCTGTAGCAATTCGGTTTTCTAATAAGTCAATTAAATAGAATATACATTTCCTAAGTGCCTACAATATGTGATGCACTTTACTAGCTTCTTTACAAACATTAAACACAGATAACCTGTAGGAACTTGCATTCTATGGAGAGGAAAGACTTATGATTTCAATGGTATGTGTGTCCACTGTGGAACTGATGTGAATAACAACCTTACAGTAGCTCAGTAGATGAATTGCTGAGGTGAGATGAATTTATGCCCTGGTGGCTAACCTTTGGTGATAAATTAATAGACTACTTCTAAAAGAACCTGGTTTTTTTTTTAAATCTTCCCTACTGCTTAATACCAAGAAAAAGAATATTTTGTTAACAAAGATGTCTCCTGGAGCCATTGAGATATCATGATTTTCTGAGTCACTAATGTATTTTTTTAAAATAATGAGCCATAACTTCACAACATGCTATTTTGATGCCTATTCATGGTATGAAGGTGACCCTAGATTCTCAGTGATTATGCCAATGGAATGCAAGATTTGGTAGCTTTCAACATTCCAAAGATCTCTGAATATAGGCCTAGCCAGAGACCACCAATTTTTTGAGGATAAGCTTAAGTATAGAATATACTCATAACTCCTAGACTGATCACTTAGTCATGGGTTATTTGGTTCTAGTAACCTAAGAAATAAAGTTAAATGCAAAATGTCCCTTGATCTTGTGTGACTCTTTTCTGCCTCTTCAGGAATAGTGGCAGAGGTGCAAAAAATGGGAAAAAGGGTACAAAGAATCATATATTTTGATACTACTTATCAACATTAGCTTAGGTGTTAGCACTCTCAAGGGGAGCTCCTTGTCCAATGATGGACAAATGAACATACTATTGCAGGGACTGAATTAAATCAACCTTGAATTCTCCTTGCATGTGAAAGCAGAAGGCAACAGAGAGTTACAGTAAAGGGGAGAATGGCTTACAGGTTCTCCTGGGAGAAAAAATACTAAAGAAGATTGGATGGTGGCAGCGGGGGTAGGGGAAAGGGGGAGCAATTTTGTCAAAGGTCCAGAGACAATAAGAAAGATAATTTAACAGCACATTTGGTCATCTCATATTCAGTATTCATAATAAGTATTTATAAGTGGACAATCATGAAAATAGTTGCTGTTAATGGGCCAATATTTACTTCAGAGAACGAAAAGGAAGAGAAATTCTACAATGAACTTTATAAAATCCTCCAAATAAAATCAATACATACTTTGATATTTAGTAACTTTTAATTGAAGATGACAAAAGGCAGGGACAATGAAAAATGTAACCCAATGGTAATGAATGAAAGACATCAATCACATAGGCTACACAGAAGCCACATATCTAAATATTAGGAATAATTTCTCTCAGAAAGGAATAAGAAGGTATTGGACTTGGTAATCAAAACATTCAAAAAAGTGATTTTTTTTATATTTCTAGCAAATAGGAAGAGCTGAGTTATTGATGTTGAAGTCATTTCTTAATCAGTTTGTATACATAGAGAACACTGGCTTCTTGGAGCAATGATAAAAGTTAATACAAAAAGAACAAAAATAATAAGGGGCAGCAAGGTGGCACAGTGGATAGAACACTAGCCCTTACAGTCAGGAGGACCTGAGTTCAGATCTGGCCTCAGACACTAGCTGTGTGCCCATGGGCGTGTCACTTAACCCCAATTGCCTCAAAAAAAGAATAAAAATAATAAAAAATATGGTACAAAACTAAAAGATCTACAATCTGTACTACTGAAAAAGGTTATTGATGCCCCAAATTGGGAGGTGAAGGAGAAAGGGATATTGAAATTGACCAAAATAATTTCACATAGTAGTTTAATTAACCTTTGTAAATCAAGTACAATTACAAGACGACCCAAATGGTTGAAAAATTCCTTCATCAACAAAACCTGACTTATTTGCTAAGCAGAGTAATCTATGGGCAACCTTGGTTTAGAATATAAATTTGTTTATAAAAGTTTATATAGAAGGCTGGTAGATTGTCATTGAATATTGTTTCATAAAGCAAAGAAGAAGTTGAGGTTAAAAAAAAACAGTTTTTTAGAAATCTTGCAAGTTACCCAACTAAACAAAGTCATATCCTGCCCCTACTCTAGTGCAGGTCCTCATCCCCTCATGCCTAGAAGATTGCAATAGCCCGTTGGTACATCTTCCTGCCTTAAATTTCTCCCCACTCCAATCCAGCCCCCCTTCAGCCATTAGTAATTCTTAAAGCTCAGATCCATCATGGCACACCCACTCTACCCCTACCCTAACTCAGTAAACTCCAGTGGCTCCAGTAGGACCAAACAGAGAATGTTCTTTTTGACATTCACAGAATGCCAAACTATGAACTTAGATCCCTCCTGCTTTCCCGT